AAAGAGTGCATTTTAGATTTTTTAAAAAATGTTTTGTGATAAGCATGAAAAATGTAAGAAAGATCACTTCAGGTGTATCAGCTAAAATACAACGCTTCATAGTCACTATATATCAGCATTATATATAGCTAAAGGAAAATGGAATTCATCAGTCATTCAGTAATTATGGAATACAGCATTAAACAGGTTTTTTATTTGAAAGCAAGGTCAAAAGAAAAGATGACACTAATTGTTAGCATGCATCATCTTGGCTGTCATTTTACTTTCATGACAGACACAAGAAAGCTCAAGGATCAGGTCACACTGTTGAACTAGCATTTAATCAACCTTGAATACTGGTTGAAAAGGATATTATGACATAGATAAAATATTAAAAAACGTATATAGGGATTAAAAAATATCATGCTCATTGTTTACATTTGAAGACATAAGAATTAATGCATTTAAACTATTTTTCCAGATATCAATCATTTTTACTAAGAACATAAATGAATAAAAATCTGGATGAAAGGCAATGAGTTTTATAAAATTCATTCATAACAAATATAGGGAAAGAAAAAAAAGTTAAGATTAATATAAAGAAAATGACACTGAGTTTCCTCATTCCCCAAATTACTCAAAAATCTTACTCAGAAACACCCAGTCTGCCTATATTTTAAAGGCTGGCTTGTCTCTAAGTATTACCAGAGAAAAATTCTTAAAGCAAGCTCAAATATATTCTTAGAATTTATTAAAAAAGGCAGAAACAAATATTTAAAAGTATAATGAAATCACTTTAAGAAATGTGATTCTTCCACCTCGGTTCTACTTTTGTTTCTTCCTTCAGCTATATAGACCAAAAAAATTAACATCTGCATTCCCCATAACAACAACAAAAATTATAAATACTCTGGTTCAGCTCTTGCCCTAATATAAAACACGCTGATATAAACAGAGCCATGATAATTTTCAGTAGCTGTAGAATTTTCTCTTGGTAAACTCAGTTGCTGCCAAACTGTTTTGTATAAACAGCCCTATAAACAGCTCTCTGTTAATCCAGCATTTGAAAGTGAAAGAAGCACCAGTTTGACTTCAAAGTCAAAACTTCAAGACCAAGAAACACCTCAGAAATGAGTGGAATATTTATCCAATATATTCCAAGTCAACAGCACAATAAATATTTTGGAATAAATACATACTTAAACCATAAAACCTGATGAATTACCACAATGGATTTTTCATAGAAAAGTGCTGTGAGAGGTGGGTATTTTTTGCTGTTGGCAAGAAAAATCCACTAAGATGGTTGCTAAGAAGGCATTTTATAAAGTTCATACTTGAGCTTTGACAAACAAGAATTTTAATTAATGCCCTTAGCAGTCATTTAAGTTTGTACACCTAATAGCTTTACAATATAGATGGAAGAACTGCATCAAACTATGCTATGGCAACTGCTATGGTCAGAAGTTCCATTTTTTTGTTTGTTTCAGAAAACCAATGACCTTGGACAGAAGCCAGGAAATGTAAAGGTGCTCCTCCCCTGGGAGATTCAGATGTTCCCTGTGATTGTTTCCAGTAGATAGATGCTGGGCCCATACCAGACAACAATTGAATAGCATCTATCCAGAGAAACAGTAGAAACTTTAGGTATCATTACAAAAGACTCTCCAGTTAAAGCACACAGGAAGCATATAGTACTAGTTCAAACCTAAAACCTAAATCTAAATACATCTCACCTGCCAAGTTGTAAGCCAGTTTTATTTTTTTGCACAATCAGCAAGAGTCAGTCCTCTAACAAGGGATGGGTATAGCAGATTCAGCCTCATTGTCCAGATTTATCTTGAACCACAAAAAATAACTTGCAATGAGCAAACCAGAATCTGAACTGAGGCAAGAAAAAACAGGCACTGCCAGGACAATTTTTTCTACTACTTGCTAACCTGTCATAACACTATCACTACAGCACTAGTAACCAGTTTGTCCTGTCCCTAAAATTTATGGGCTAAAAATCTGAAAAAACCCAGACTCCTTCACTCAGGATACTCAGAACACCAAATAAAACACAGCTTTTAGGTAATGTAGTAGCAAACGAGGCCTATGGCACTTCACTGTAGTGTAGGGTGGGAAACAGGTGGCCAAGGTTAGGGATAAATTAGGTCCCATGGTAATTTGGCTTGAACAATCCTGCTTGTTCATCCTCATACAGCTGAGGATGCAGGTAACCAAGCACAGCTGGTGCAGGCTGACCAGCAATTGCATGACAGCCCCTCTGCATTGATTGTTCAATGACTCTAGTGGCTTGCCCAGCTGTGGAAGATGACTAGGAAAACCAGGATACTGTTTCTGCTCTGTGACACACCTAACCTCATAGCATCTTCACACTGCTTCACCTGTTCCCTTGTTTCTTTTTCCTCTGGCAGAGCTTTGCTCTGCTATAAAAGCCATCTTTGGTTTCCTGATGCTTAACTCAGTTTTTAATCATGTCATGCATTCTTGCATCTCTCAGTTCTCTGACCTTTGTTTCTGCTTGCACCTGTTCTTCCCTGAAGGTGCTTTAGGGATGTCTGGGGCCTGAGACCTGTTGTGCAACACAGCTCTTACATGTACTTCAAAACCTAGTTCTGCCCTGGAAGCAGTAGTGTGAACATGCCAGTTGACTGACAAAGCCCATGCAGAGATAGTTCTCCATGACTGTTCTGGTTGAACACCTTTCGACAATTTTTCCAGACTGAGGCATTAGTAATTCACTTAACAGAAACTAGTGAAGAATATACCTCACTGAATAGTTTAGACTGTACTTGAAGACTAACCAAATGTGGAAGGTGACCTATGGGTAGCAGAAAACTACACAGATGGTCTTTCCTGAGCAATTGCATTGGTACATCAAAGTGGACTGATGCTGCAACCACACTATATAAATTCTGTACTTCTTTGTAATTTTTTTAGGAAAACAGTGAGTTACAAGACCAGTATTTTTGTCATTAGCTGTCTGGAAAAAAGAGATAGGCTGCCACTATTCAGTAATGACATTGTAAACTAAAGTGCAGTGCACTCTAGTTCCTTCAGTGTTTCTTAAACAGATCAGTCAGTGTTCACACAACTGTGAACACTGACATAGGAATAAGAACTGACTGGGAAAGAACCAACATATTACGGCATATCTGTAAGATAAAGGAGCCTGAAAACACCTTATTTTGGTTTTGCCAATTCTTTGTTTATCAACAATTTTCTGGCACAGGATATATTCCAGGATTACAGAAGCTCTTGTAATCTTTAAGAAGGGGAACAGATCCAGGGAAATTATAAATGTCCAATTTAATTTACTTCAAAACCATATGAACAAACTACTCTTGCTCATCTCAGTCAATAGAATAATGGCTAGGTTAAGCAACAGTCAGGGATCTGTCAAGAAGAAATGGTGTTTGACCTGGAAAATGGAAATAAAATGAAGCTGTTTTCTTTCCAGTATCAAGTATTACGGTGGTACTCATCATGTATCTTGACTTGAGTAACTGTATCAGATGTTACATAAAAACTGGGAGAATGCAGTCTAAATAAAACCACTCTAAGATACTGGGAAATTGTACTCAAAAGAGCAATCAATTGTTCCTTGTCAGAGTGAAAAGTACAACATTAGATTATAAAAAGTAAGTAAAGGCCAGTATCATGTGCATTTTCATAAATTATTTACAATAATTGGAGAGTACGTTTATTAAATCTGTCTGGAAAATGCTGCCAACCAGTTGGAGGAGAGGGTTAATACACAGAGCAAAATTAGAGAAATGCCTTAAGGAGAAAAAAACCTGCTAGACACCAAGTTCTGACACTTGGGTAAGAATAAACAATGCAGGATGGGAAAAAGTGGGCTAAGTAACAATTCTAAGATCAAAACTGATAAATAGTAAACAAAGAAGAATGGAAGGGAGAAAGGAGAAAATATTATTGCAATCTGAACATATTAACAATATCAAGCTGTGATGACAGAGTGTAACACTGCAGGATCTTGCATTGTCTAATACACTGAAGGAAAGACTTAAGGAGAAGCTCAGACAACATGCTTGCACAGGCAGCTGCCATGAGGAAGAAAATAAAGAGTTCGCCACTTTAGTGGTGGTCACGGAAACTGGACATAACATTACTATAGGGAATTTCCTTTGGATATCAGGGTTTTATAGCAAGACACATAGAAACTGGATTAGTTTGCCTAAAAATGTTGCAAAAACCTACTTCTTCAATTCTCTTTTTTTTTTTAAAAAAAACAACAACAAGTAAGACAACAACTGTTAGAAGTTATTTACATAGAGATGACTTTGCTTTGGGTAGAACAATGATTGGGTAGTTTTAGAATGATGCTTCAATGTAATAAATATTGTCAAACAGGATTTTAAAGATTTGACTGTTCTACTTAGAAAAGCAAGTATTCAGAAAATGCCCAGTTATTTGGAAACAAACTTTGAACGACACAGATGATATTGCAACATCACAAGTTAGATAAATGCAATGTTTACTTGCCAAGTTCCATACATCTGAAATTAAAAAACCCCGACGTACCCCCACTCTTTGTATCATGGTCATGATTTCTATGTAATGTTCTTGCAACTACACAGTTTATCTGCAAACACGAGTAATTTATTATACAGCACCTTTTTTTTTCTCTATTTCCTTCAAAATTTGGATTGGAAGATAAACCTTTTTATGTAAACTGATGACTTTAAGGAATAATGCTTCTAAAAAAAAATGCTTCACATTTTCATGTGTATTAGCTCCATAAAGAATATTCCAAGACATATTTTACATTCGAGTCAGTAAAACAGGATGTTACAATAAGACAAATCAGTTTGCAAATGAATACAACATTACAGACTAAGAATTAAAATCCCTTTATCCACCATCTCAATGGTGAACTGCAATTTAGGATGATGTGAAGTTTAGTACCACAACCAGAAAAAAACAATTAGTAACCATAAAATCATTTGGCTTCATTTAATAAAATCCTTTGATATTCTTACTGTTTCAAGAAACGCAGAAACATTTCCAGTTTTCCTTCATGCCAAATGTGAACATTTAGCAAAGGTTTTCCTTTTCACTTGTCCGAAGCAAGTTAGGGTAAATGTTGGACATACATTTTGAAATGTATGTATTTCTGATTATATTAACACAGTAGCACCATCTACTGGTCCAGAAGATCCTTTCAAACTTTAGAAAAAGCGGTGGAGAGAGATCCAGCAAGAATGATGCAAAATGCTACTGAGAGTAACACATAGTTTTTCAGTCCCTGGAGAACCAAAAGCAGAGAAAAAGAAAAATACCATTGTAATAAGAGACACCATTTCACACACAGACACACACACAAAAAGGCAAAACAAAGATCTGCAGTTTCATTTTGTGAAAAAATTCCTAAACTAATTACATGAAATAGCAAATTTTATACCATTTTATTTCATATAATGTTTGTTACATATTTGCTGTTCAAAACATTTTAATACACATTATCTATGAAGCCACACACTTCGTAAAATATTCACAAAATTAATTCAGCATTTTTAGAAAGTATTTTTAAAGTTTTTTGTCTACTCCTAAAGCAGTAAGCACTTATCCAGAAGCTATTCTAAAAGTGTACAAAGAGAGTGAGAGGTTTAGTGAGTCACAAAGATATTGGATAATGAACATAATAGCACTCTAGCATGGAGCAACACTAATTTGCAGTGGGGGAGAGAGAACTTCTAGTTTCTGATCCAAGGATGCCTAATGCATTTTACAGTCACCAAAAATATTGGGAAAGTAGATCTCCAATGGCAAATTAGGTACCTATTGATCCTGGACAGATTATCTTAAGGAAACCTGAGGATTATAATGCTAGCATTCCATGTTTCAAATACCACTAGAAAAATAATTTCTGCCATATATGCTAATACCCAGGAGAGTAAATTAGCCTGTTCTAGGCAATCACTGTCGTATCAGTTTAGGATCTCTCCATTATACCACAATTAACAAGCTTAGTTAAGCTTTGTCTCATTTTTTGGTCCTTTAGTGAATCTAACCCTGGAAATCTAATGTACTTGTTTATGTGGTTACTTAGACAACTGCTCATTCCCCTGCTCAAACTGAAAGAACTGGCTCAAATAAAGACTATTTTCAGGTGGTTGGCATCCTCCCTCCTGGCCTTGCTACAGCCTTAATTTCCTCCCACTCAAACCTTCATTCCTGTAATAACTGTTCACAGTTCTTAATTTTTCTTGGAAAACGTGACTTTCAGCTTCAAAATGCAATACTTGTAAGGAGGGAGATCTAAGAGATTCAGCTGTATACCAAATCATGCAGTTCAAAGAGCTAGAGAAAAGCAAGAGAGACCAGGTAAGAAACTTAGTAAGTTACCTTTATTTCTTTAAACACAAGGACTCCCCACATTGCAGCAATAAGGCCAGGACCCTAAAGAATAAGACTCATTTGTACATTACAGCATTTCATTAAAATTCCCATTACTCTTCTCAGGATGGTTCAATTTTGTCTGAATAACAAATTTAGGCCTTTCCAGTTGCTCTAATTACAGCACTTATAGCAACAGCAAATGTCACTGCAGTATTTACCAAGTAAGACACAATAAAATCTTCAGGAAGGGCTGAAGAAGCAAGAAAGTGTGGTTTTTTTGTTTTTTTTTTAAGAGAAGGCACAATTTTTCTAATTTACACTGTGGAGTCTGCACTGGCTGTTATATTTTCTTTTAGTGGGCTCCAAATAATATGCCTAATTTTAGTCCAAACTACAGTCCACGATGTTACCACATTTCAAGGAACTATTCATGTTTATTGGCAGCTACCATGGATATTCCTAACACTTCCTTTATTAGCATGACTAACTAGTTGGAACAAGTTTGATTTTATCACTCAGTATGATATCAAGAGACTGGAACATAAACATATTTCCTGTATAGCAAGTATCTGGACACAGCACAAAGCCAGTCAGCCAGACAGGTCAGGAAAACTACTGATTATCTGTGATGGTGTTGTCCAGATTTCCTAGCTAACAGCAAAGAGCAATACACAATAATTTCCAGGCACTTCTGGTAATACAGTTTTCCCTGGTGGGAGCAATTATCTGAATTTGCATGACTGATGTGAAAATATTATCTGGATACAAAGTGAAAACTGTCTCTGTTAATGTTTCCCATTAGAGCTGCTCTCAGAAACACTTGACAGCTGTTTGGGCAGTGATCTTCCTCTCTTCCATCTTCAGTATATCTGATAGAGGCTGAATGTATTTGTGGGTGCCGTTTCCTACTGGAATTGCCAGCTATTATTTGAACAATAGCTGAGGTCTTATTTCACTTTCTAGATAATGTATGTGGCGACAGAAATGCATTTTAAAAATGAAATAAATCGTTTGTGATTAAACTTCTCTCTAGGATGAAGTAAAATAGCAGTTCCAAACTTATGGTCCAGATAAGAAGCTTCTCATCAACGCATTCCTTAAGTTTTTCATTTTGTGATTTTATATCCTCGCCCTTTAGGCATATTAATAACTAAGTTACTAAAGCTGCTTTCTATTAATCCTTCAGTTTCTAATTAGAATGATTCCAAGTCTTTACTTTCATTTCATACTGCAGAGTTGATTCTGATTTACTGCATCTTGAGGCAAAGCTTAATCCCTATTAATGTTGTTTCATTAGTTTGCTTTCAAAATTCTTGCTGTTCAGCAAAACTTTGGTTTTGATATTTACAAACTCCCATTTGCCAGAAGTTATCCACCTTTGCATCACCATCTAGTAAAGTGGCAAGAGAGTAAATGCAAAGTTTATTTTTACCTAGTGATGGAATTTATACAGCTTCTGGAAATTAACAGTGCTTTAAATATACAGTATCATAACTTGGAATAAACCAGATAAAATGGGCCAACATAGTTTTCCATTATTTGCATAAGAACATTATTTTCAGCAACACAATCTGTTCTGTGTGTTCAAGAACTGTAAAATGAAAAAAAACCCTGACTTAATTATGCAAAATGACTGCTGGACATTAAAATCACAAATGAAAACATCCAGAACAAAATGTACTTGTGGGGATGAAAGCATTATAAGTTTCTTCTTTTAATTACTTCAGTGTACTTTCATATTGAGATAGTTCTGGTTATAGAACTTTGGTTTTTACATAATCTAAAGACATACAGTTTCACTTTTTCCATTTTTTTATTTTTATGCTTGGCATAAATGGTGCTTGTCACAGTCATGTATGTTCCTAAAAAACCAAAGGCTAGCACACACAAGCAGAAAAGGCAATGTGCACTCTTAATTAAAATGCTCTAGAGTCATAATAATTTCAACATAAATCCACAAGTGAGGAGAAAAAAAAAAAAGTTCTCTTTTAATTCCAGTTACAGAGTGTATTTTTTTATATACTTACAGCAGTAATGATTGGAAAGCTGACCACAGCACTGAGATAATGATTGGCTATGAACCAGCAGCAATTGGCTATTGCCCAAAGCACACCAGAAACAAACCCTAGAAAAATAAATCCCAATCAAAAACATGTATGGCAAGGTAGGGACAGCAATTTGTGGAACATTTATTTTTATAGCATAATAAAGAAACTGTATGTATGTATTTTAGTATATTAACTACTTTAACAAGAATGCTGTGTTAATCTAAACTAAAGCTCAAGGGATAAAATCAGCTACTCCAACTAAAGTAGCAAATGAAGCTCACCATTTTCTGTGCAATGTGGTCTCCACTCTGGGAGACTTGTTTTTTGAAAATCTGCTGTATGCAATGCCATTTTGTTCTAATTTCAGATTAGAACAAAATTTTTCAGTTTCCTAACCTTAGTTAATTAACCTAATAGGAGCAATTTTTAAAAAGAGACAAAAAGTCAAATTAAGAGAGATGAAAGATGAACTACAATTCCAACATATAGCTTGAACTAATCACTGCAAAACAGTCAGAAGAAGTATCTGAAATTAACTGTTAGTTTAGAAAACAGTCATACCTGGCAATATGGCTTGTGGATAAACATTAGGTTTATTTTTCCTGACTGCACAGTAGATAAAAAAGTAGATGGTACTTGTAAGAAATATTCCACTGAAGTGTGCAAAAACATAATCCAAATCTGAAAGAGAAATTACAAAATTGTATTAGCCTAAAACACCTGTTATTAATTTCAACTGAATTTATTTCACTGGTAGTATTCAGACAGACAAAAACCAGATAAGGTGCTACTGCTAACAACTTGAATTTCAATTATGACTGTGACAAACACAGCTGCCAGTCTGACTGTAGATTAATTTGGTCAATCAAACATATATTAAACATGAATTAACTGCTGCATTTATCCTAGCATTTTTCATAAGCTTTTTTGCATTTCTGTGAATTGCTGTTTTTGGAACTCTATTAGGCAAACTACTGAACTAATTTATTAAAAACTTAAGAAAATCTTCAGGTGAGGCTACAAAACTTGGGTGGGTATTTTATGTAATTACATCCTCTCCTGATCATCTATATTTATATTCCTGTATATAGCCTTGCTTCTCTTCTGTACATTTAAGGGCAAGACAACTAGACATCTTGTGTAACCTAAACATGGCACAGTTTTGTCCTTTTTTTATGTTGAGGAGTGTATCAAAATGTTAATCACTATAATAATTAACAATAATAAATCCTTTATGGACTCAGTATGTACTAATGAGAGCATTTCCAACACAGTAAAGCAGAAGCATGTAGCAAGGTGACCTCTGTCTCCCTAGAATTCAAAGTCTTCAACAGGAAAGGCAGCTCTAGTAATGATAACATCTGCTTTGTCTAGCTGCAGAATATATAAATTGCAGTATTTAAGAGAAATTGCATGTGACAGAACAATTTCTTAATGGCAACACTATGCGGTTTCAGCAATACCTTCCTCTTAAGCTGCTGCTGGTATTACCTGATAGACTATACACTAAACCTTAGGGAAGATGGCTCTGGGGAAATGTTGTTGAAAACTGGTGATTAGGCTTATGTTAAAAGGTTTCCATAAAAAAAACCTACAAGGTTTTAATTACTTATGTTGCTATATATCTTTTGTGCACATCAGTTATGATCAACCTTCTCCTCTTTCCTTTAGCAATGTATTAATTTGGTAACTGGTACAGCCTGTGCCTTTGTTTACTTCATGCTCCGGGTATATGAACTTTGTATTCTGAGAGTGCTCTGCTTCTGAAGGCATTAAATACTATCAGTCAAGTATCATAATCGCTGGGGTGTTTCTGACTGTTCTTTTAATGGTGTAATTCAAATATGGGAAAAAAAAGGGAGTGCTAGTACTGTAATTATGACAACATATAACACAGTGCAGAACTGATAAGTTGTCATGGTATATTTCCAGGCATACCACTAATTTCACTCTGTGCTTTTGCAAAAGCAGGAGACCACAGTATACTGATGAAATGAAGTAGATGTGACCTATCAGCATTTACCAAATTGACTTGCTCCTGTGTATATAGTTTCATTTCGTCTTCCATGGTCCTTGATGTAAAGTACTGGTACAAAACTGGAACCGTAGAGTATTCCAGCTACTACAGCCAGGCTGCATCCTCTTTAAAAAGAGCAAAAATCAGAGAAAATAGCCTAGCGTTATTTACGTTAAGTAGACAATACACTTAAGTCCAGTATTGCAGTTAAAGACTGTATATCGAAGAAAAATTGCTAGCAACATTATGAATATAAAACGTTTTAGCACATTTTTATTTTTAGTGTAGATATTGTTCAACTCAGCAACTTGGTTTTCCTATACTTTGTGGCCAAGTAACACAGAGAATTCCTGCCCCAACAGCCTGCAGTCTAGATAAATGCCATCAATAAAATAGGATTTCCTAAAAGCAGAGTTAGCGAAGACCAACAACAACGTATTTAAAATGCTCTTGCTCTCAGCTTCACTGGTGCAGTCTGTATATTCTTTGTAACCATTCCCAAGTTCACTCCCTCCATGGTAGCTTTTCTCTGCTTCCAGCTCACTGTGTTCTTGACTGACTCCACTCCCCACACTGGCCCCTTGCTAACTGCTGCTTGCACCCTGGAGCACTTCTGCTGTCTGCTTACTGCTATGCCTTCTCCAGAGGTATTCACTTTGAAACCATGCCTGGAAGCATGTTATTAACATAGGCTTCTACTATGCTGGAGAGCTAAGCCACCTGTTAATAAAAAAACAGCTCTGTAATTACTTAGTTGTTATTGCTATATACTTAGCAAACATTGTTCTTTTGTAGCAGGAACCAATACTTAATTAGTAAGTTAAAGCTGAACACTGTGGGGGAAAAAAGAAATTAATTAGTTGGGCAGTTTTTCATATACAGATAGGCACACTATACTGGTACCTTGAAAATGATAATTTATTAGGGAATGACTGTGCTAGAAAAACCACAGGACATGAATTCTGCTCTTAAACTGTGTTCAACCACTTTCTGTCTACTTGGCCTGTACCAGTAAAAGAACTGTTAATAACTTACAAGAGCCTCTTTTTTGCTGGAGAAAGCCTGTTCACCCATGAGTCATCAGAAGTATCTTCAGAAACATTAATAGACTGTAAAAAACAGTTTTCACTGAAATTTAGTTTTTTTGTTGTTGGTGTTTTTTAAAATCTCAAATATTGTGTTAAAGAGAATAGTTTTGCTCTAAGAAAATTTAAATGGAAGGAGAAACAAAAGGAATTTACAGAAATACTTTGAAGAAAGAAGACAATTATTTTTAAAATAAAACGTAATTAAGTCTACCTACTTCAAAGTTCACAGGTAACAGTTTGAATATGGATTTTAGGTTTATTGCACTAGTAGTTTATTGACTAGTACTTCTTTTTAATCAGCATGCAGGCAGCTTTGTCTTTCAAAACTCACCCTTCCTTACATGATTTAATATAAAGGTTTTATTTGTGTTTTTGCCTTTTGCTGATAGTTCTGGGATTACTTTCAGAATATTAGGACTATTTGCAAACAGAGAAATGAAAAACACCAGTCTGCAGCATAAAGAAATTGCAGTGTCCCATTATTTTAATCCTGTGATCAGACTGTCTTCTGTGTTTTAGTCTGGTAGACTGGAACCTCTAGTGAGCATTGAGCACAGCTAGAAGATTCTGAGGGGCTCTCTGTCCAGGTAGCAACCAACTTTTGATGCATCACTGACTGAGTATAAGCTTCAATAGTAGCAGGATCCTATTGTTCTCCAGCTTTTGCTGCATACTTGGGGGTCCAGAAGGAGCAACAGCCAAGCTGGCAGTGCTCCTTGGCCTCCGATGCTCCAACAATCAGCAACTCTTGACAGACTCCTGGCTCTATAATGTGGCAACAATCTGCTGGATAAGAGTTATAACACTGCTGCCTTTCATCTAAGCACCCCCGTAGTTTTATAGTTAAGTTTTAATTAAAATTACTTTATTTTCCCAGAACAGGAAAGTAATACACTCCGTCTTTTAAATAGCCCCTGTCATAATGAAAAAGGGTTCCTCAGCCATTTAAAGCTGACAACAGTGAAAGAACACTTGGGAATACTTCTTGTTGCTCACATTTGGCTGGATATACAAGATCCACAAATTAAATACAATCAATGCATATTTACGTAGTTTCATGTTGTCTACCATAAATCCTAGCAAAGCCGGTTCACATTAAGCAATTTATTTTTAATTTTTTTAAAAATGGGTACGTATTTTCACTGCTTTAAATGAACAACTGTAGTGTACTTACACTTTCTCTCAGTAAAGGTGTGTTTTCTAGTGAAGCTGAAGGACTCTGGATTTCAGTTTTTATAAAAAGAAATATGACAGCACTCAGAAGAAAAAAATACACCAGTAAGTACCATGTCAGCTCATAAGGACATAACTCTTAGTGTTTAGAGACAAAAGTTATAAAAAGTTTGGAGGGATATTACATTATTTTCATTATAGCCTTAGTGTCACTTCAACATATTAAATGCAATTGCTTTTAACAAACAACTTAAGTGAAAGTAACTAAATAAATTACTCTTTATATCACTTTATAGATTGTCTTCTATGTAGTGGAATTGAAATGTCTACTTTTTACAGTGAGTAGCTACACATGTTAACAGCTGCATTAATTAACAATGCCCTTTTGTACTAAGCCACTAATACAACAAAACTTCTGCATGAAAATTCTAAATGAACAGCTTACACCTGCACAGAATTGGCTCTATGGTCAACAAAAAAAGACACTTTTTGTTTTCTATTGCATGCCAGTGGGGGGATACTGCTCCTACAGGGCCTTAGGCATACATGGGAGGAGGAAGAGTATTGCTCAGTGATGCTCCTATGCACTAAGTGAATAAATGAAGAAGAAAAAGTAACACTATTACTTGTGCCCCCTGAAATTAGGTAAATACATGTAATCAGAAGTGTCAGAACTTGTTTTTTATTTTATGAAAGATATTTTAATTATTTAGGAATTCCTTCTCATCACTGTAAACAGAAAGTCTCAATTTGAGAGTTATTCCTCTCCTACTGAAGGAATAAGGATAGACATAAAAGGATGTCAGCTTTCTCCAGAGGTACTATACAAACCTATACAGGTTTCATGCAGGAAGCTAACATGAAATACATGCTTCTGAGCTCTGCAGAGCAACATACACGGGCTTTGTGCAGCTTGCCAGAAAATATATTTGGTCAGGATCTTTCTCCCTGCTGATCACTTCTCCATGGTATCTCAGAAACTGGCAGGAGGCAGGTGGTGAGCTGAATTAACTCACGAGGCAGGGAGAGCAGTACTGCTACCATTTTTGAGTACCTCACAAAATCATGTGCTACGTGTAAGGACAATGGGTAGAAAGCTACAGACTCTTAGGAAATAGGAAGAGTGGAAGCAAAACTCACAAATGTAAAGCAACAGGTCTCACTTAGCAATCAAGAAGTGCTCCATCATATCCATGTTCTAAACATCTTTCTTTCCTAAAGGCGTTACATGCATCTTTAGCACACTAACAGTGAACATACTGCCCCTGGGATTTAGAGTCACCATCAAATGGCTAGAAAAACCTTCCTGGCCACCTAACTGGAAAGCAAGAGCAGTGCTACATAATAAAACTCCCTTTTCCTCTGTGTTTGAGCCAATACGTGCACTCATACAAATAATAAAAACAAACATAAGAGTAGGAGCACTTCTGAATATCCCAAAGGAAGCCACTATTTGCAAGTTTTAAGTGTGGCTTGGAAGTTACAAGACAGGGAGCTATTAAGGGTAAGAGATATGTGAAGCCTCTGGCTTGTCATGACCCCAAAGGATCTGGAGAGGGTCCTGTGGCATATTCTGCAGCTAAGAGCAAGACCCTGACTGAGCGAAGTCAGATCGGACTTTATAAAGATCAATTTTTACCTTAGTAGTGAAAGTCCTGCTCCAACAGAATTTAAGATTGGTCTTGATACCTCTTCTGGGTCAATTCCAAACCAACCGAACCTGAAATATTTAATCAGTTTCACTTAGTTGCACTGACCGCATACAAATAGTTAAATTACAACCTAGCCTTGGAAATCACAGAATGTTAGGGGTTGGAAGGGACCTCAAAAGATGATCTAGACCAACACCCCTGCCAGAGCAGGATCCCTCAGAATAGCTCACACAGGAATGTGTCCAGGCAGCTTTTGAATGTCTTTATTCGAAGAGAGAAGAGACGAAGAGTCCACAACCTGTCTGGGCAGCCTGTTCCAGTGCTCTGTCACCCTCACAGTGAAAGTTTTTCCTTATGTTTAAGTGGAACCTCCTATGCTCCAGCGTGTACCCACCACCCCTTTTCCTGTCACTGGACATCACTGAGAAGAGCCTGACTCTATCCTCCTGACACTCGCCCTTTACATATTTGTAAACATTAATGAGGTCACCCCTCAGTCTCCTCTTCTCCAAGCTAAAGAGACCCAGCTCCCTCAGCCTTCCCTCGTAAGGGAGTTGTTCCACTTCCTTCATCATTTTTGTGGCTCTGCACTCCTTGTCCTTCTTGAACTGAGGGGCCCAGAACTGGACACAATATTCCAGATGTGGCCTCACCAGGGCAGAGCAGAGGGGAAGGAGAACCTCTCTTGACCTACTAACCACACCACTCCTAATACATCCCAGGATGTCATTGCCTTTCGTGGCCACAAGGGCACATTGCTGGCTCATGGTCATCCATGCAGGTCCAGCAGGACCCTCTGGTCCCTTTCCCCTACACTGCTCTCCAACAGGTCAGTCCCCAGCCTATACTGGTACACGAGGTTGTTCTTTCCCAGATGCAAGACTCCATACTTGCCCCTCTTGTATTAATTAAATTTCTCCCTGCCAACTCTCCAGCCTGTCCAGGTCTTGCTAAATGGCAGCGCAGCCTTCTGGTGTGTCAGCCATTCCTCCCAAATCTTTACTCCTGAAAATAACTCTTACTAAAGTTATTGGCATGGTGTTTCAGTTGGCTTGCAAAAAGCTGTCTACTGTACCAAAATAATTTTAAACTAATTTAATATACATTGACTTTTTTTTAACCTGGGTATTTAAACATTGAAGTTAAATTATTTTATTAGCCCATGTGCTGTAGAAGAAAAAAAACAGTGTACTAGTTTTGCATTAAGAAATACATTATTTATTTACTCAATTATGGTAGGGAACATTACTGGGCATTCTGCTTCCTATTGAGACAAAGGAAACAAAGATAAAATAATAGGTGAGTACCATCCACTGAGAGAGATAGAAGATCTTATCTATATGATAAACCCTCTTAATTGGTGATAGTGTTTTCACTGCAGTTACTAATGACATTAAGACTCAAATGTACTCACCGTGAACTTGCCCAACCTGTCAGCAAATTAAAAGAAGCCCATATCAAAAGACCAAGAGCTAAGCCAATAGTTTTGACAATAGGGACAACTGTAATATTGCCTGAAAAACAACAACAACAACAAAAACAACCAACAACAAACCACCAAAATTAAATTTTGTTAAAAACTAGACTGTGATCTTGTATATTTTGGTTTTAGATGCTGTGCCTATTCAGAGGCAAGAAATGTAGGCAATTACAAGGTGGTAGGAAATAGGCTTTTTAAAATGTTAATATATCAAATACAGACACTTCCTAAATGCCATTTAAAAAGCTGTCTTTGGTTTGAATTTGCTGCTTATAAAGTAAGTGTAATAAAGTAATATTTACTATAAGGATACAGCTCCATTAACACCTAGATTTAAAAAAGCCAAATAACTACTACCTCAGGTACGAGAAAGTTTTTATCACTGCTTTTTTCATTAAGAGTTAGGGTTACTTTGAGTTTCAAGAAACAGGATCTCTTTATCCTTACCTGTAGCCCACACAAAACCCCCAACCATCGCCAGAGGCCAAAACCGGGGGCAATTCTGGATTAAATTGACCACTAAAGAAACTATCCATATGGAGGCACAGAGAATCCATTGGAAGAACATGCCTATGGAAGAAATAAATGCACACAGTAGAGAACCTGTAGAACACTGCATGTGTATCTCTTAACTTACTAGGTTTTAAATAAAATTTATTTATTGCAGAAAAATTTGAAAGGTCATCCACCTCCTCTGTGAATTTCAGGGAACCCTGTTACAATATAATAAAAAAATGCATTTTAGGTATCTTTTAGATGTTAAAATTAATTCTGTCACCCTACCACACATTCTTTATACACAGCTGCAAAAGACAGTTTGCTGGGAAAAGTTCACACTAGCCCCAATTCTCACACACATTGAATTTTAATGGGCTTCTGAAAAAAAGGATGTTCAGTTACTGCAAACTTATCCCACCACCCTAGTAGTACCTGATTGCACAGGACAAAACTCCTTCAAAGCACAGGACTCAGGCTTTTCCACTACTCCAGAACACTGAGAGTAATAAAAATTCCAGACATATCTCTTCTACCTTTGTTGACTAAGGCTCAACTAGGCAGAGAAGATAATTTTATGCCAGCTGAGCTAAGACTTCCACTTTAAAGTCTAGTCTTGTCTCGTTAGGACCACATTTGGCACAAAGAAAAAAGAGGGATTACATCCAGCCTGTAATGCAGATACTATTATTGCAGTGATGTAATGGCAGATTTATGCATCTAGGGATCTGGTAACTGACTATGCTTCATATAGATGTGTAAATACAACATGAACATAATACAGTAAAGTGATTAAAGTCCAATAAGGAAATAACATATATTTTTTCTTCTTAATGAGTCACCAGATAAAAGTATCCAAATTTCAATTTTCAGTTGTTTTTTTCTTATGTGCACAACTGAAAGGTAATGCTCCAAAGCCCAACAACTTTTATAGTACAAATAACACGTACTTGAGAAACCCCACAAGGATAGAAGAAAGGACATTTCACTTTCCATTGTGAAATGCTCATGAAATGCACATCATTACTGTTAAATTGCACAACAACACATAAAAAGTCCTTCTAAAGGTTTGCCACATCTTGAACAAATATATTATTGTTTTATACCCTAACAATAGCAAAGACAATTAAAAACATGCTTTATGGATGAAGGCTGTGACAATATTTATAACTCTAGCTACGGAAATTCTCATATTATTCCCATTAGGAAAAATACCAAAACCAACAAAAGAATATAAATAAGTTTACCATCGCCAGTATCAAATTTCTTAACAGGCACAAAGTTTGTTCCAAATAGAAGGACAGCTACTGTGGAAGAGGTAAAGCCAATAGCCAGATCTGTTCCATTGCTGTTGTTAAAGGTACTGAAAGCTTTCCCAATATTCATCTTTGTTCTGAAGGTGCCTGTTTTTGTGGAGTTGTTTTGCTGCAGATCCTGTCAAATTCCAAAATCAGAAAGTGGAATTAAACATGTGGAGCATTAAATAACACCAGTCCAGTTCACAATCTGAAACTTAAAGGACCCTACTTATCAATCTCCCAAAACCTGGAAAGAACAGTAAAGGATACTGTGGAATCCCACAAAAAGCTGCCATAAGATGTGAATGAAGTGGAACTTAAGAACAGACACACAAAATAAATCACTATTATGTGTATTATAATCAGCTTAACAGAAAAGCATGTCTGAAAACATATGTGAATCCATGTATCTTTATAAGGTAACCACATGGATTGCTCTAGCTGATACAAAATACAAATAGGGGTTCATCTTTTTTCTGAGGAAAACTGTAATAACATGTTTTTTCACACAGAATCACATAATCTTAACACCACACATAAGAGACTACATGGAAAAAAGCGTTTGGAAATTTCATTTCAAATGGCAACAAGGTATTTAATACATTATGAGTATAAGGGAGCATATTTATTCAGATATCCATGCAATCCTGCTGTCAGAGTAATGCTATTTATACTGAATCAAATGACAGCCTAATGCAGTTTGACATTACCCAGTGTAGGTGGACTAGCTACTGTCTGGATAAAAAAAGCTGAAATGGAATGGTGGAAATCTTGCCAAGTCTTGTAAGAGGTGCTGTGACTACACTCTCTGCACAAAAGGAAGAGCTGAGCTGCTGCACATTTTTTCAACTTATTTTACCCTCTAGTCTTACCTTCTCTGGAGTCCTTAGGACACTGAGAGCTGCATCTGCTGAGGTTGTGCTTTTATCTACAGCTTCAGTAGGGCCATCAGTGTCAGCTGAAATTAATTATTTGCATTAGCAGGTGAAAAGTCTAATCCCATAAGTAATATAAACATTTAATTTCTGTAATTTTTTCTACATAAAATATGAAAGTATATTTTTAACTTGAGTACTTTGGAAAAAAAACAGACTACATTTATAAGACACATTATGGAGGTACTATGGTCCAAGTATTTCCATTTGTCCTGTATTTTTCTCCTCTGCTTTTCATCTTTCTTGCCTACTTAAAGGAGAAGCTCCAGGAAGTCTTCACTGTAATGAAGAACTGCAGACATAGAACAGTGCAAATAATAATGCTAACATTTCTTCAAAGACTGACTTCACAGGCTAAGAAACACTGTGGCACCTCAAGAATGGATTAAGATAGATAAAGACTATCATCAGCTATCTTCATTCCATCAGACTTGACTCACTGAGTGAATAAATTTCGTGGACAAGGCATAAGAGCTGGATTTTGCACAGGAAGAACTTCATGCTGTTAAGGACAGAAAAATAAAGCTGATTACAACTGCACCTCTAAGCATGCAGGATTCAGTACCTTAGCCTTTAAACAAATAAGTCATTATGCAGGTAAAATACTATGAACCTTTCAAATTTAAATTGGTTTATCAGTCTTTCAACCCGTATGCTGCAGGGTGATATACTTTTCTGCTTGCTTTTTATCTTTCAAAAATCTCTGTATTGTGCACATGGAAGACTGTTGCACAACTGGAGAACCAGAACCACAACACCAAAAATGGAAAGGAAACACAACTTCAAATTAACAAAGGAAGGGTATGCTTAATTCTGTTTAAAACTCTGTAACTTTCCAAAGTTTGGGCCACTTAGGCCCAAATTTGGCTACATTACAGATCAAACTTTCAACTCTGTATTACTGCCTTGCAGAGAAAGCTCAACCAGACAAGGCATGGTGCAACCTGCTCTAACTTTGATGGTAGCAATGCTATCATCAGGGCATTAATGCAGGGTGTTGAACTAGATGACCTCCAGAGGTCCCTTCCAAGCTAAGTTATTCAATGATTGTATGATCCAACGTCAAGAGCAAACAATGAACTGGTACAAAACATTAAGTTCACTATACTTTTTCATATGCTTGCACATACCTGGCACATCAAGTTATTTCAGAGAGTTCACTTGAAGCTTTTTCTCAAAAATCCTAGGGACTGCCAAAGTGACTCGCAACATACATTCCTCCGAAGGTCTCAAGCTACCAAATGCAAAACCAGAAGCACTTACTGAAACTAAGATATTAGAATACACTGGTTATATCTGAAACTCAAACAGAGACAACTGGAATTCCTGTTGTTATGAAGGCTGTGGATTTGGCTTTTTTGTTTGGGTTCCAACCTCCTCCACCCTGGGCACCAAGCAGCCCTTATTGAAGGGTATTTGTGGGGTTTGCAAGCTACAGATAAGATATAATGGAATTTTCTTGGCACACACTGCCCTTATCCTACTAACTTTGCTGGTTTACCTCACTGGAAAGCTTTCATCTGTATTTTCCTCGTTTCCTCAGAAAAATGCCACCATTTTCTTTCTTCACACAGAGACAGAACAAATGATGCTGCTCACTTAATACAATGGCAACACATAACTACAGTCCCTGCAGACAGGTATGAAATCAAGAATCCTGCCTGCCCTGGAGAGCTTCCATCTCAGGGCAGATTCACGCTACTGTCAAGATCATAAAGAAACTGTGCTGATTGAATGGGTATTTTTAGAGGCTGCAGGTCATGTTAGCTGTTTATGTGTATATTTCTCCTTTTGTGTATCTGTCATTAAGGCTGGACACTTTTATCCTTACTTTAGGAGATTTGCTAGTCCTACAGCAGCTCAGGGGCACGTCCTCGGGTGACACCGCAACCTCTCACCAGCTGCCAGAGACACATTTATTTGCCTCCCTGCAAAGAACGCCTGTGAAGGCATTCTTCAGGCCGTGTTTTCAGCAAGCTGTATCGTGCTACAAGCGAAAACACGCATCTGGGGCCTCGACACGGGCGGAGGTTGTTCCTAGCGTTGCCGCTCGGCCTTCCCCAGGACGCGGCCCGCGGACGGGGCAGGCCCAGCGCTG